TGAGCAATGACAATTTATAAATTTAGGAGGTTACATGTGATTTGTGAAAATTTAACTTCTCCATCTTTGTTTCTGAAATTTTAAATTAAACATTAAATTAAAAATGTTTGACTCTGTGAAAGAAAATTTCCCAAAATTCCTGCACCTTGGACTGAACTTCCTGCAAGGCTAACTGATTATCACTCCAGAAAGTGTGGAGAGTTTGGAATTTGCAGGTCCAGAATCTAACTACCATTTATCTCCCACCATCTTTAGCCCTCTAAACAGGCACTCCTTACCCACCTCTGTTTCTGATCTAACATCCAGTGACTAACAGATAAAAATCTTTTAGAATGTATTAACAGCAGACTACCAGGTCTCACCAATCCAAAAGCTAAGAATGTCATCAGATAACATCTGAGACCTATACTAAGAACCCGCCTGCTTTCCTGCGACCTGCCTACTGAATGTATCCACCAATGTATTTGAAAAGTGTCTTGATTTATGACTTTCCTTTGTTCTGTTACCATAAAAATGTAAGGCAACTGTTATCGCGTTGGAACATGGAATTTGGGGTAACCTGAATCTGTGTACCCCGGCCATGGTCACTCATATTTGGCTCCAGAATAAACTATCTCTTCTCCCCTTTGAGGTGAGAGTTATCCTTTTGCTTCTACAACTCCCATTTGGAACCTCACCCACCCACAGCTAAGGGACCATTGTGAAAGAGGAAGCAGAAAGATTATAAGAGCCAGGGCTAGTTCATGAACACAGGGAGGTGGAGGCCTCCAGGCCACTGGGTGCTTGCTCATGTGAGCCTGTGGCAGCAGCAGTGACATCAAAATGGGACCCATGTCAGCTCAGTTAAACAAGGGCCCAAAGGGGAGGTGAGAAACAGGTAGCGGCCAGCACTACATTGAGCACTATTTGAGACTGATTGAAGCCGGGTGAGGAAGAGTATGACTTACATAGGACCACTGGATGGGCTGACTAGACTCCAGTGGACACATTTACACTGAAGGACATTTGGGTACAAACACCTGAATGAATAGGACTCAGCATGTTCAGTTGGGGTGGTTGGGCATGGGTGGGGGAGGGGGTCTGGATGTGAGTAGGAAATATTGTATGAAATTTTAAAATCTCAATAAAAAAAGAAAAAGAAAAAAAAAAGAAAATGTTGGCCTAAACTTGCTTTCTTTGTATGTTCTTTTTAGTTCATTATGTTAGTGAATAAACAAAGATTATATATAATCTTTATCAATTATACATAAATTATCTGAAAATTCTGTAACATAAGGAAATAGGGGAGTAGCAAGATGACTCAGTGGTTAAGAATATACGCTGCTCCCCCAGAAGACCAGCATTCAGTTCCCATCACTCATATGGGAAGCTCTCAATCATCTGTAACTCCAGCTCCAGGGGATCCATCACCCTCTTGTGGCCTCTGCTGGCACCAGTACTCACATACATCTACCCCATCCAAGCATGTAATTATACACATCATTAAAACATTTAAAAATAAATCATAAAAAATAAAGAAAAGAAAATATTTATTGCATTTTTTTCAGAATACTGACTTAAATTTTAGAGTGCTTTACCATAAAAGGGTGTTGGGTTAAAGGATAATACATTGAGAATACATTGTGAAATGTAGTCAACAGTTTTATTTCATCTTTACAGTTTATGCCTTTATCACTTGGAATAGATTAACTCTTGGTCATGTCATTCTCCCATCACCTGTGGTCACTTTCGTTTATTTGGTTATTATTTTTAATAATGAAGTAATCATCCACAAAGTCCCTTTCTGAAACAAAAATAAGACTATATCCCACATTAAAACATCTGGCTTTATTTTATCTTGTTGTACTTTATTTATTATCCTTAAAAATGTGTCATATTTAAAATATATACTTAATTTTTGTTTGTTTGTTTGTTTAAGACAGGGTCTACTTTGTAATGCTGGCTGGCCTGGAAATTGCTATGTAGACCAGGCTGGTCTTGAACTCGCAGTGGGCTGCCTGCGTCTGCCAGGATTAAAGGAGTACATGAAAACACAACACCTATACTTGGTAGTTTTTAAAAAATATTTTATTCATTATTTGTATTTTATGTGTATGGTAGTTTTAATGGTATAGAAAGATTATTTGGCTCTGTATAACTTTTAGAACTTTTATCATGTAATGTGTTAGTAAGATTAATTGATGCTGTTTATGGCTATATGTCATTAATTTTGAGGACTACATGAATATGTCACATGCATGAATATATCACAATCTACTATCTTTTGTTTCTAAGTATTTTAATAGATTCTGATTTGGGGTAATATGAACAGTGCTACTATAACCATCTTTTACACATCTTCTGCTACACATGCACAAGAACTTCCTTTTACACCCCACCCCCCCACACACACATACACACAACAGGCTTATGAGGCTTGGGAGTGGTGAGATGTACAGTATGAAAATGATCAATTACAGAAGAAACAGCAAGACATTCCAACTTGGCTGCTCTCATCTGTTATATTCTAAAGAAACTATGGCTTTCCACTTGTTACCAATTTTAAGTATTTGGATTATAATAGAGGTACAATGATATTATATTAAGATCCCAATAAACATATAATTGAAAAGTGAAATCTTTCCTTTATTTCCAGTTTTTCAGGTATACTATACATTTCAAAGTGTGTTAGTAGTGCGCACATCAGTACAAAGTAATTGATTAAAAATGATATATGTCTTACTTTTGGCTGAATTTTTTTTCTTAATTCATCTCTCATCCTTCCAAACATGGCCAGGGCTGTGATATATAATCATTATGGTCAACGTCTTCCTCTCTTTTAATATGTCACCTCCCAACCCAGAATGCCAGAGAGTGAGAGCACATATTGATAAGATTTCCAGTTATTCACTCTCCCTCAATCTAGAAACTGATCTCATATTAAGTAACTTTCAAAATTTCTAAGAACTTCCACTGAGTTTGAAAAGTTTGGAAAGGCTTTTATCAAAATACATCACAGTACATGGACACATTTTTCAATTCACAGTCATAAGACTGCAACTGGCCCAGTGGTCAAGTATTGCAGAAATTCATTCAATTAGATTTCTGGGTTTTCATCTTTCTTTCTTTCTTTTTCTTTTTTTTTTTTTGTTTGTTTGTTTTTGAGCCAGTGTCTCCCAGTAGTCCCAGCTGGTCTGGAATTCACTATGTAGACCGGGCTGGCCTTGAACTCAAAGAGCTCTGTCTGCCTCTCTCCTGAGTGCTGGGATCAAAGGCATGCGCCGCCACGCCCGGCCATATTTCTGTCTTATAAGACACTAAGTTACTTAGTTTAAATGTAAATTCATGTTTGGGCGTCTCAGACATTTGAAATGAAGGACTAATTAATGCCATTTAAATTGGGAAACAGAAAGGTTAAGAGAAATCTGCTGCCAAAATCCTCAAGGTAGTGCAATGATGGTTTCTGATGTTTATTATAGCATGCTAGGGTACATGGATTTCCAGAAAAGAAGTGTTGGTAATGATAAAAATAAAATGGGAGCATACAAGTGTTGCCTTGGCAACTTCCTTCCTCCCCTAGTTAACCTAGAGAGGCCCAATACAGCACAACAAGTGAATTTAAAAGTGCAGTGGGGTGCATTAGAAATGGTAGCTTTATTTCTGATTGCATACATTAAAAACCATCAAGTATCTTTAAGAGGGCTTAGTTGGAATTCTAACTATTTCTAACTACAAGCTATTAACCACTGTAAGCCAAGACAAATAAATGACACATTTTATAGTTATGTAAAACTGTCTGAGTTGCTAAAAAAGAACATTCCCAGTGCTGACTTTAACCATTCCTTCCTTTCCCTTTAACTCCTCCTACTTCCAACAGAGGTGCTGATAGTAAAGCAAAACAGTCATTGGAACTTTGAGTAATTGATTTAATCATATCTCAAATTATAGAGTATTGTTTTCCAATATAAAATGTGCATTATAATAGAATAGTTTATTTCTTAAGGACTTTGAACTTTTATGTTCCTGAGACTTTCTCACTTTAATGTTATGAATATTAGCTAGTATGTAGGAATGACTTTTAATTAACTCCAGCAAAACCAAGAGTTCATGGGACAGCCTGTAACTGGGCATCATCTTGGTAATCTCAATTTGGTACTCCACCCAAAAAGATAATGAATGTGGGTTTGCTTGAAAATTAACATATCAAAATGCTGCAAGCCTACAGCTTCCAAAACGAAGCTGAAGAAAACATTTTGAATAAATTATGGGTGTGTGTGGGGGTCACTGGACACAGGGACAGAGTGGAAGAAACGGGGTCCAGGGTCAGTTCCATCTACACAGGGTGAGGACACAGACAACTCTATCTGCACAGGTTGAGGGGACAAGAGCTCCATAGAAACAGAGGGTTCTAATGGACAGCCAGGGGTACTAGTGTCCCCTGACTTTAGGCTCCTTCTTAAAAACTTAATAGTCTATTTGTTCAGATGATTATGATGGCTGTAATAATAAATGCCACACAGGTAATCACAGTAGAGATGATATTTAAATAGTTCAACTTTGATAAAATGAAAGTTTGCACAGTTGTTCTTAAGCCTCTATAAGACCATGAACTCTTTCAAATATAACCTATAAGCTTGAAGAAAATTTGGACCCATATGGTGGTGAGGAAACCTTACACACTAACAATTAAAATCTGTGACCATTATTTTTCCTTGGAGGAGCAACTTCCCATTTAAAAAGACCACAGGGATTCTAAGTTATTTGACTGGTATTTAGAACAACCTAGTTTCCTTTGTCATTAGGAAAGAGGCAAAGCCCAGGAGGATATCAGCAGTTAAATACCAAGGCCTCTGGGGCAGGAAGAAACTGCTAAGACTTCTGACTAGAGCGAGCCCCCCCCCGCCCCCGACGCCAACACAGGGCCCAGGAAACCTCCCCAAGCCTGGAATGTTCTACAAATTATACTGACGCCAATTCCTCGGTCCTGGACACAAACACAATGGGCAGGCATGGCTTGTGATTACAGGCCAGTTCCTCAGTTTGCGTTCTTCCTGTCCCCGTTCATCTCTACTTTCTGAGATCCAATGTTCTGATAGGGTACTGAGCCAGGAAAGCCACTCGCTTCAGACCCACTGGCAACTTTCTTTTCTCCAAATCTAAGCTGAGTGTTTGACCCCCTGCACCAGTGCGTTCCCTGTGCGGAGGCGCCAGCTGAGTTCCTGACCCCTGAATGAATCAGGGCGGCACCAAGCCTGGCAGAGCTCTGGACACATTTCCTGTCGCGGCCTAGGGGAAGCTGTTGGTCAAGAGATTCTACTGGGGATTTTTGGTGGGTTGGAGGATGAGGGTTCAGGGGAGGGGAGAGGAGGACACACTTGGGTCGGGGAGCGGGCTGTAAAGGGCTATGATTCCAGAGACAGCCAGGAGCCGTTGAGCAGGCCAGACCGAAGTTGGGAGCCGCAGAGCTCATAGGGCGTCCAGGAGTGCACGATGAGGCCGGCGCTCGCCCTGTGCCTCCTCTGTCCCGCGCTCTGGCCCAGGCCGGGAAGTGGCGAGCATCCCACCGCCGATCGCGCTGGTTGTTGGGCGTCGGGGGCCTGCTACAGCCTGCACCACGCCAGCATCAAGCGCCTGGGGGCCGAGGAGGCCTGCAGCCTAAGGGGCGGGACTCTCAGCACTGTGCACCCGGGTGCCGAGCAGCTCGCAGTGCTCGGTCTCCTGCGGGCAGGCCCGGGGCCGGTTGGCAGCCCCAAGGACCTTCTGTTCTGGGTGGCTTTGGAGCGCGGCCGTTCCAACTGCACCATGGAGAACGATCCGTTGCGGGGTTTCACCTGGCTGTCCCCCTACGCCGGCGAGTCCAAAGGCGACACGCTACCGTGGGTGGAGGAACCACAACCCTCCTGCATCTCGCGAAAATGCGCGGGACTCCAAGCCACCCGGGGAGTGGAGCCCACCGGCTGGAAGGAGATGCGCTGCCAACTGCGCGCCAATGGCTACCTGTGCAAGTACCAGTTCGAGGCCCTGTGCCCAGCGCCGCTCCCCGGGGCCGCCTCTAACTTGAGCTTTCGAGCTCCTTTCAGGCTGAGCAGCTCGGCTATGGACTTCAGTCCTCCTGGGACCGAGGTGAGTGGGATGTGCTCGGGGGATCTCTCCGTCTCCGCTACTTGCATCCGGGAAGAGAGGGGCGCAAGCTGGGATGGGCTGTTCGGAGGAGTGCTCTGCCCCTGCTCCGGGAGGTACCTGCGTGCTGGCAAATGCTCCGAGCTCTCTGACTGTCTGGACGACTTGGGAGGCTTTGCCTGCGAATGTGCTGAGGGCTTTGAGCTAGGGAAAGACGGACGCTCTTGTGAGACCAGAAGGGAAGGACGGCCAGCCCCTGCGGGGACCACCATGCTGCCAACTAGGAGCGTGTTAGCCACTCCAACTAGCCCTGTGCCTAAGAGAAAGTGGCCACCCCAGATGCCCGGTGTCACCAGACAAAGAAATTCTGCGACACCTGTTACCGAGATTCTTCAGTGGGGAACGCAGAACACACTATCTACCCTGGAAACGTCCTCAGGAACCAAGCTAAAAGCCACCCTCAGCTCATCAGGAAGCATGATTCCTACACTGAATTCTACACCTTCCCCTTCCTTTCCCCAGACTTTCAACTCCTCCTCCACTGTGGTCTTTATACTTGTAAGCATAGCAGTAATAGTGTTGGTGATATTGACCATGACAGTCCTGGGGCTTTTCAAACTCTGCTTTCACAAGAACCCGTCCTCCCGGACAAGGAAAGGGGCTTTAGACTCTCGGGGTGTGGAGACTGATGCTGAGGCCACTGCTTTGCGCCCGAGTTCCCCACATTGTACAAACAATGGGGTGAAAGGCAAAGACTGTGGTCTTGGGTCGGGGAACACCTAAAGAAACAACCCCGTGGGCGCACCTTCTGCAAACTTTCTCAATTACAAAGAGCAGGGAAAAAAGAGATTTCTGGAATGATAGTTTCCACAGAAATTCTCTTTCCCATAAATTCTCTTTGCCCCACTAAGGAAGTAAATCTGAACAATACACTTAGACCCAGAAAGTGAAAGAAGGTGCCTTGGGCTGGTGCTGAGGACAAAGTGTTACTGGAAGGAGGCACTGTGGTGTTCTGGGGAGTGACTGAACATTTGCAGACGTTGGAAGCAAATGGATAGCAATATAAGTTTTAGAAAGTTTATTTTCACCAAAATGAGAAGGAACTGTCTGTATTGTTTAGGCTAGAAGTATTGATTTGAAAGCCTCAGGAAAAATAAAGGATTGTTAATGACTCAGATTCAAATGTGTTTGATTTTCTCAAGGACAATGATCTAGGAGTACAAGGTGCATGAGACGGCCACCGCCGTGGGATTGCTGGTCCGTGGGATTGCTGATCCTCCCTGCTCTTTGGCTGAGGAAGCACTTGCACCCTTATGACTAGGACCAGATCTTTCAGAACTAGTAAAGTTCCACTTTGTTCATTTATCCTTTGCTTTCAAAGTCACTGTTCTGTGCTCTGCTGTAAATCCTGAGTGCAATGTTGCGGATTTCTGACTCTAGAAGCCAGTTACAGTTGACCACCAATTCAAGTGTTTACTGTGTGTCCTTGCCCAAGGAGACAGATGATTTGTGTCTTCCTCTTCCAATGTCTGTGCTTTCCAGTGTAATGACCTTCCTCCCCAAACCACCTTCTAGACATCACAAATGCTGACCCTCACTTCCAATTATGGGGATGTTAATTCTCAATTAAAACATTAATGCTAAATATTGATTTTAATTCTTCTGGGTACATTAAAGCAAAGCAAAGCTGGGCTTCTTCCAAAGTGGCTAGATTCTTGTGCCCTACTTTATCCATGAAAAACAACAACAACCTTGAATTCCAAGCCATTTCTGCGTCTTCGAAATAATGTGTATAATGACAGTGTATGTGCATCTTGGGATAGTTAAGTTTAGCAAGGGTTTGCATAGGCAGAGCCATGGTAAACAGCTTTTCATATAAAAAGAAATGATAAATAAAAAAAACAACTTGTTATGGCTTGAGGTATTAGAAAATAAACAAAATGACACATTCTGGTGTAAAATCATTAAGGCATAAGAAAAGTCACCATCTCATAGAATCCAAAGACACTGAAAAGTATACCACTTAGATTAATATGTTAAGACTTTTCAAGAGATATAAAGGTTGGTGTATGGAAAGAAATAGGGAAACAAGTTTACTTAGGGAGAAAATGAAAGTAGAGACAAGCTTGGGCTACATTTTTCTAGAATCAGTTTTGATATTCTTGGTTGTATTGTACATATAATGGAGAGTCTACTTAAAATTAGCAAATGGTCAAAACAAAATAATTTGGAAAATTAAAAGAGCTTATTACATAAATTCATGTACTTCAGGGTTATAATACCTTTAGGTATTGTAACCCTGAAGGAATACATTCACAGATAACTTGCTTCATATGTTAAATATGCTTCCAAATATTTTCAGCTAAATAAAATCACAAATGAATTAGATTTGACAACATTGAGGTTACTTCAAATATATTAATTTCATATGTGAAACTAACAGATAAGTAAATGGCTCATCAAAAAATCCTCAACTTTTCAGTTATACACATCAGTTCACCTCAGTCTTAGCATTATAATTTTCCTCTTCACTCTATGAGCCCCCAATAGCAGAGGTATGGTGTTTACTTTTGATGACCTGAAAAATACTCTCATCTATAAGTAGACTGAACATGGGTAGACAAGTAGATGGATGGATAGAGATAATGTATACATGTGTGTATGTGTAGACATATACATTTGTCTTAAAGGAGGTTGTCTATATTGTTTCAATAAGGAGTATGTGTAATTAGCATGCAATGTGCAACAGATGCCATTGTTCCATCTTGGGCTCAATGAAGAATAAATCACATCAGTGCAATTATTTTGCTATTGTTTCTTTTATTTCCCTTTATAAATGGATCCGGGAAAATTACAGAAAATTAATTGTTTTCATCTTTGATTTCTTGACAAATAGCAATTTCAGTACAAGTATTTCAGAATATAGAACTTCCTTTGGTTTCTGCTAAATGAACGTGGCATCAAATTGTCTTCTAAATACTTATGCTTATATTCATAGTGCAGCTCTCATCTCTCATCAGAGAAGCTTCCATTTACAGTTAACATGGACAGTCCCAACTGGTCAAAGTGGAGAGAATAAATGACTCTGGAGTGCCCAGCCCCAGTCAGGACATCTCTATCAGTCACCTCCCCCGGTACACTTGGGAAACACTGCAGAGTGGGGAGAGAAAGGCATTAAGAGACAGAAGTTGGGGAGGACTGCTCTGAAACTGTGTCTTCTGGGCATGACAGGACAGCTGTATCATGAGCTCAGCAGCTGTGGTTGCCTGCACAAGACCTGTTCATGGTCAAGACAGTCAACTTTCTGACGTGGTTGAGGAGAAGCTCTCAGGGCCTCACCTCAACTGAGGAACTATTAGCAGTTGGTGGTTGCTGAGGACAGTAGAATCAGTTTTCTTCAGAAGTATGGCCCTGATGGGTTGCCCACACCCCAATGGATGGACCTATGCCATTCACGTATGGGCAATTAGCAATTGGACACAGTGGGTTTTCTTAAAAAAAGAAAACTGGGGCTTGAGAGATGGCTCAGTGGTTAAGAACACTGACTGTTCTTGCAGAAGATCCAGGTTTGAATCCCAGCACCCACATGGCAGCTGGCAACTGTCCATAACTCCAGTCCCAGGGGATATGACAGCTTCTTCTGACCTCCACGGGCATTGCACGACATAGGTGCACTTACCTACATGCAGGCAATACACACATACACATAAAATAAAAAGATAATAAATTATATATATGTCTTTTTGAGACAGGATCTCCCTGTAACCCCAGCTGTCCTGGAACTCACTATGTAGACCAGGCTGGCCTTGAACTCATAGAGATCTTCCTGCCTCTGCCTCCAGAGTGTTGGGATTAAAGGTGTGTGCCACCACACCTGGCATTAAGTAAAATATTTTTAAAAAAAGAAAACCAGAGTACATGAAGTTGGAAGCAGAGCACATGTTGGGGATGTGGTGTGGAAAAAGGTGAAGGAGAATGTGGAGGATGGGATTGATCATTGTGTACATGTACAAAATACCAAAGAATAAAAGAATTTAAGAACAATAAAAATATCTTCTGTTCTAAGGCTAGAGACCTCAGAAAATGCATTGAAATGAAAAATTTATATTTAATGATCATAGAAATATAGTTGTTTTACTGAGCCATTTATGAGCAAGTTGGCAAACTAATGCTCTATTACCCCTGAACACTTTGCTGCTTAGTTCTACCTTATCTAACTGTTGGCATCAAATTATTGGTAGCATTTGTAAGTAGTGATTTCTCTTCTAGTTTGTTTCTGTATTGACTGTACTAATTTAGATTCCCACTAAAAGTATGCAAGTGTTCCTTTTTCTTCATATCTTCATCAGATTTTGTCATTTTATTTATTTTTTATTCTAACTAGAGTGATGTGGTCTCATTATAGTTTTGATTTCTACTTTCCCAATGCCTAATGATATTGAGTATCAGTCACTCGCATTTCTTTTGTAAGAAAGTATCAATTCAGATCATTTGCGCATTTTTCATTAGAGTACTTGTTTGCTGTTGGTTTTAGTTCTGTGCGTTCTGGATGTCAGCCCTCCATCATGGGTAGAGCTAGCATGCATTTTTTCATCTCGGTAGGTTGCCTCTTTGCTCTGTTGATGGTTTCCTTTTGGTTTGTTATAATCTTATTTGTCAGCTTTAGAATTCCTGTGTTCTTGCAGACTTGTCTAGACAAGCATTCCTTATACCAGCATATTAAAGTACTCTACCGGTGCTTTCCTCTGTTAGTTTTGGAGAGGAAGGTCTTTGGTCAATTTTAAGTTTGTTTTTGTACAAGCTCACAGATAGGTGTCAAGGCTTAACCTTTCATATGCGGCTCTCCAGTTTTCCCAGTGCTATTTGTTAAAGGACCATACTTGTTCAGTATATATTTTTTGTACCTTTGTCCAGAATCAGCTGGCTGAAGTTTCATTGTGCCTGTCCTTGGTCTCTTCTGTTTCATTAGTCTACCTGCTTGTTCTTATGCTGTTGCATAGGACTGTCCTCTGACCAGCAAGCTATGGACAGATCCAAACCTTCTTTCCAATCTTGGTTGCCCTCGTTTACTTAGTATCATTACAAATTTGTTGACTGTTGATGATGCTCTACAAGAAAGGAGGGGCAGTGAGAGGCAGCCACCCCTCTCAACCAACCAGTTGGCCCTAGTTGCATGATGGGGACAGACTATATAACCAGAGAAAGCTATAGGGGAGGGGGTCTCTCATCATTTTGTGCAGCTGTGGGAAGGTCACATCCACGGCTGGATGGAGACTTTTAAGTGAAACCTCAGGAGGGAGCACCCATACTCTTGTAAGTGAACCCTCACCCACTGCTCTGTCAGTAAGCCCAGTAAACTCACTGGTTTGCCAGACTGTAGTTTGGTGAAATTGTACCTTAGTTTGTCATAAGGACCATGGGTAGAGGGGCCAGATGTCATTCATTCCTCCCAGAGGAATTTTAGCAACAAATGCCAATACAGTGCTGTCACTGTTACTGTGACACCGTGGTGTATTGTAAAATTAGATGGGATAATACATCCAATGTTTTTATTTTTGTTGTTATTCAGGAGATTTTGTGCTTCATTATGAATTTTAAGATTTTCAAAAACACAATAAAAAAGAATGTAATTGGTGTTTTGCTGGGTATTGTATTAAATATGTAAATTTTTGGGTGGAATATGGATATTTTAACAATATTAATTCTTCCAACCCATAAACACGGAATATCTTTCCACCTTCAAATGTTTTCTTAAATGTATTCATTGCTTTTACATTTCTCACTGTAAAGGTTGCTCACGTTCTCAGACTTATATCTGTGTATGCATATATGTGTGCACGTGTGTGCATATGTGTGCCTGTGTATGTATATGATGTTGATAATGACTTTTCCATTCAACTTTTATGTTTTTCAGGTATTATCATTCTACATATAATTTGTTAAGGAATTTTATCAAGGGATATTGAATTTATCAAGTTATTTTTTCTGAATACAGTGACATATATCATTTTTAACCTTTATTCTATTTATGTGAAATATTAATTTGTGTATGATGAAATATCCTTGTATTCCTGGAATAAAATTGCCTTCATTATGATGCATTATCTTTTCAATATGCCATTGAATTCTTTTTATCAGCATCTTGAAGATTTTTAAGTCTATGTCCATCTGAAGCACGTGACTTATGCTTTAATTTTTGTTGTGTCATCGTCAGGTTTTAGTAGCAGAGTAATGCTAGCCTCTTAGTCTGCGTTTACAAGGGTCGCCATCCTTCCACTTCTATGGAATAGTTTGGGAGGTATTGCTTTAATTCCTCCTTTAAAATCAGCTTAACTTTAGCAGTGACATCATGGAGTCCTGGACTTCTCTTTGTTGGGAGACATTTTAAGTGCTGATTTAATCCCATTACATTATATTCATGTTTTTATATTCTTTTGGTTCAATTTGGTAAATAAATGTGTCTAGAAGTTCTTCCATTTCTTTTAGATTATTTTTACAATTTATTAGCATATAGTTTTCCAAGATAATCCCTACTGATTCTTGAGTTTTTATAGTATTACTTGTAATATCTCTTTTTCAGCACTAATTTTATTTGCGCTTTGTTTATCTTCCTGTATCGCTCTGTCTCTGTGTGTTTATGTTTTTATCTTTTGTCTTAATAAAAAGTTGCCATTTTTATTTATCTTTTCAAAAAGCCAAGTGTTTATTTCATTGATCTTTTATATTATATATTTCATTTATATGCTGTGATTGCAATTATCTCTTCCCTTCTACTAATTCTGGGTACAGCTTGTTCTGGTTTTCTAAGAATAAGATTCATCATTAGATTGTTCAGCACCCCACAGGATTATTTTCCCATTTTCATTTGTTCCAAGGAATTTTTTAGATAAATACTTTTATTCTTTGAAAATTTCACACGATATATTGATCATATTCACCTCAGTTCTTCTCAACTCCTCCCAGGTGCACACTCACTTCCCTGCCCCTCCATATCGGTGTCCTCCATTTTTTAATAAACAATCCACTACAATATGTGCTGTCCATACAGTTCTGGGCATAGGGCCATCGATTGGAACTTGGTCAACCTACCAGGCAGTATGCCCTTAAAGAAAATTCACTTTCCATCCTTCAGAAGCCGTCGACTGTCCACAGCTCCTCAGTTAGGCATGGGAGCACATGAACCTTTCAACTGCATGTTAGAATGTTGATTGGTTTGGTTTTCTATAGGTCTTGTCCAGGAAACCACAGATACTATGATTTCAGGAGTACAGTGGCCCTTTTTTGCCCAGAAAACATTCTTTTGCTCCAGTCCTTTCCTACCTCTGCCTCTTTAGATGGTCCCTGAGCCTTGGGGAAGAGATGTGATATATGATGTGTCCTTTGTGGCTAAGCCCTCCACAGCCATTTATTCTCTACATTTTGGCCAGTTGTGAGTTTCTTTGTTAACCACCA